AAATTTGTAAAAATATAAAAAGTTGATATAAAATTTTGTGTAAATTTTGTGTAAAATTGATTAAAAATTTTACATTTAATGAAGTTTAACTTATATTCTAAGAGAACAGGTTAAACAAATTCTTAATAAATTAAAATTAATCTTTATTCTTTTATAAAAAGTAATTATTAAAAGGCACATTAAATATAAAAGAACATGTTAGAAAAATATTTTCATAAAATAAAATTTATAAACCAGTTAATTTTAAAAATAAGATAACAAAATTAAAATAAATAATAAATACCTTTAAACTTAAATTATGAATCATATTATTAAATTAAATTAAGCTTTTATTTTTAAGATTTTAAATTTTTTATTTAATAAAATCATAAATGATAATAATGATTGGATAAAATTCAAAATTTTAAGTGTTTAAATATTAAAAGAAATTTAATTTAATGATATTGTTCTTTCCTTTTTCTTTTTATTTTTTATAGAAATTGTTTGATGTTAAAAGATTTAAATTAAAATTTTTATTTAATTTTTGTAAAATTACTAATTATTACATTCAACTTTTAATTATGAATAAATTAAAAATTTTGAAATATTAGCAATAAAGATTATAGAGTTCATTGATTTAACAATTGATGATGGGTTTGAGATAATAATAATGAGCACAACTCCTAGAAACTACATGCTTACCTTAACGAAGATGCTCTTCATTCATGGCAAAATAAATGAATTAGTAATGATGCGTCATCTATTTAATATTTGTTTTTATTGTAGATTTGGTTTAAAACTTTTTTTTTTATATTCAAAACTTATTTTGTAGTGAATTTAGTTTAAGATTGAGTTTTTTCTTATTCTCATACTTGATGAACTTATCTTATATTATGTATTTTAATATTTATTAGTTTAAATATTAAAAATTATATGTATTTAATTAAATTTATTATTTTAAATGGTTTAAATGATGATTTTCAAGTTGATCTTATGATGATTATTTTTTAAGAATAAAATAAAAGTAATATACAATAATAAAATCTAATAAATATGTTAAAAAAATTATTTTTTAAGTTGATCGATTGGATCGATCGAATGAACCGATTCAACTGGTTCAACCAGATCTGATGACCAAACCTAATTAATCACCGGACTAGACCCAAAAACATTGTTTGAAATAATGCGGTCTTAACAATACCATGTCATGCTTGAAAATGGATAATTGTCAAAAAACCAAAGTCATATTCATCTATACAAAAGTATAAAATTCCATCAACAAACAAGATTTTTAGACTTCTTTG